ATAAAAAGGATAAAACTACTGATACACACTACATCATAGAAAAACTTCAAAAACATGCTAATTGAAAGAAACCAGGTGCAAAAGACCTCATATGGTATGGTTCCATTCACATGAAAAGCCCAAAAAGGTAAATCTATAAGACATAAAACAGATTAGAAGTTGTTTGGGTTTGGAGGTAGGAACAGGGATGGTCTGTAAAAAGGTATTTGAGGAGGTAATGGAAATGCTCCAAAACCAGATTATGGTAATGGCTGTGCAACCACCTACATTATTAAATAAAAGTCATTGGGGCTGGGGATGTGGCTCAAGTGGTAGCGCGCTCGCCTGGCATGTGTGCGGCCCGGGTTCAATCCTCAGCACCACATACAAACAAAGATGTTGTGTCTGCTGAAAACTAAAAAATAAATATTAAAAAATTCTCTCTCTCTCTCTCTCTCTCTCTCTCTCTCTCTCTCTCTCTCTTAAAAAAAAGAGGCATGAAAAACTTTTAAAAATAAATAAATAAATAAATAAATGTATGTCATGGAATTAGGGCTGGGGCTTTAGTTCAGTGGCAGAGCACTTGCCTAGCACTTGTGAGGCACTGGGTTTAATTCTTAGCACTATATCAAAATAAACACATAAAATAAAGACATGTTGTCCATCTACAACTACAAAAAAAAATTATGTAAGAATTTAAAAAGTCGGGCTGGGGATGTGGCTCAAGCGGTAGCACGCTCGCCTGGCATGCGTGTGGCCCGGGTTCGATCCTCAGCACCACATACAAAGATGTTGTGTCTGCCGAAAACTAAAAAATAAATATTAAAAAATTCTCACTGTCTCTCTCACTCTTTCTTTAAAAAAAATTTTTTTAAAAGTCATTGAATTATGTGTGTTTAAAACAGGTGAATTTGTAGGTATGCAAGTTATACCTAAGTAAAGCAGTTTTTTGGTACCAGGGATTGAACTCAGGGGCACTCAGCCACTGAGCCACATCCCCAGCCTTATTTTGTATTTTAGTTAGTTGTTGTTGTATTTTTTTTTAATGTGGTGCTGGGGAACGAACCCAGTGCCTCATGCATGTTAGGCAAGTGCTCTACCACTGAGCCACATCCCAGTCCTTGTGTTTTATTAAGAGACAGGGTCTCACTGAGTTGCTTAGTGGCTTGCTTTTGCTGAGACTGGCTTTGAACTGCCTCGGCCACCTGAGCTGCTGGGATTACAGGTGTGCACCACCATGCCTGGCTGTAAAGCAGTTTTTTTAAAAAAATATTTATTTAGTTGTAGATGAGCACAAAGTATCTTTATTTATTTTTATGTGGTTCTGAGGATTGAACCCAGTGCCTCACACATGGGAGGCAAGCACTTTACCACTGAGCTACAGCCTCAGCCCCAAGCAGTTTTTTTTTTTTAAAAAACAAAACCTGGTACATAAGAACATGAGCATCATTTGAAAAAGAGGTGAGCACAAAAGGTGATGTCATGTTTCCAAAGAGCAAAGGCACACAGAATGGCTATGGGTAGCCCAGCCTGAAGCCCTGAGATCAGCTTCCCAGCCTTTCCATCTCTGCTAAGCAACTACTTCTAGAAATGGAAATGAATGCGCCCAACCTTCTGCCAAATAAAGGTGTATTCAATGTGGCATCAGGCACATAACTCCCTAAAGACAGATCTCAAAGCACCTTGGTTTTCATATATTCACAATCACACAAATATCTGGCTACATGTTCAGGCTGTGGCATGTAAGCTGTACCCTTGACTGACAGAACTTTAAAGTTCACTCTGGCTACATTATATCTTATGTGTGTTTTACCAAAATCTTTCCAAAATGATCACCAATGATTTTATCAGATTGTCTCCAGAAACGTCTGGAGTCATAAAACCCAGGCTCCCCGATTCCAGTGTTATCCCAATCCACATGCAAGAGACAACTAAGCAAACTCTCCTTAAAAGTCACCCAATTTACTTTGACATTCTGTTTTAATGTTTAATTGCCATTAACTGCAAGCTGTTCATTCTGCTGATCCAAACCATTTTTCTGTTTGCCCTATTTCCACTCCATCTGGAGCGGAAAAAATAACTATCTCCTTACTTTCAGAAAGAGGATAACATTTAAGGATAACCATTAATGGTATCTTCCAAGGTTTACATCCCTTCAGCATTTACTCTTTGGTATTATTTTCTAGCCTTCAAGTTATCTCAGGTCCCTTTCAAAATTCTTCTGAAGAGTGGTTACCAGCACTCAGGAAGGGTGTGAAGAAAGGAGGAATGGAGCTTTAGAAGAAGGGTAGAAAGTATAGGGATGCAGCAGGATAGAAAGAATAACTTCCAATGTTCTATAGCACAGTAGGTAACTATGGTTGACAACTATTAATTGAATGTTTCAAAATAGGTAGTACAGAGGATTTTCAATGTTCCCAACACAAAGAAATGATGTTTGAGGTTATGAACATGCCAATTACCCTGATCTGTTCATACATATTGTATATATGTATTGAAATGTCACACTGTACCCATAAAAGCATACAATTACTATGTGCCAATTAAAAATTTTTTTTTTAATTTTTTAGTTGTAGATGGACATAATACTTTTATTTTATTTATTTATTTTATGTGGTGCTGATGATCAAATCCAGTGCACCTCACGTGTGTTAGGCAAATACTCTACACCACTGAGCTACAACCCCAGCCCCCCAATTAAAAATATTTTTAAAAAATAAAAACAAAATAAAATTCTTTTGAATGCTGTAATTTTTCACACCTTCCAAGCATGATAACTAATATTGGGCACTGAATTCTAATGTAATTTAGAGACGTTAGTTGTCAAATCCTGTAGAATAAATTAATTCCTAACAAACAATCAAAACACCTAGGAAGAATGGTGCCAAAGTGTGCTTAGAATTACTATGAATATTAAAGGAATTCCTGGGTATTTCAGAAGGGAGTATGTGCGAGAAGGAGAATACATAGTGGAATTATAACTGAATTCACTACATAGTATTGTAACACTAGAATTATAACACTACTTAACATTTATTATAACACTAAGTCTTTTAGAAGACAAAAATATTTCAAAGTGCAGGCCAGCCATGGTGGCGGATACCTATAATCCCAGTGACTCAGGAGGCTGATGCAGGAGGATTGTGAGTTCAAAGCCAGCATCAGCAATTTAGCAAGGCCCTAAGCAACTCAGCAAGACCCTCTCTAAACAAAATACAAAAAAGGGCTGGGGATGTGGCTCAGTGTTTAAGCACTTCTGGGTTCAATACCCAGTATAAAAGAAAATCCAGATAGATAGAAGTGTATATACACCCAACAGTAAGAAACGAAAAAAGATAGCTTCTTGCCTTCATGTAGCTCATTTTGTTTTAAGGAATAGTGTTTCATAGGCATTTCTTGCATTAAATCCAAGTTACAACTTTTTGCTTGTGCAATAAATATGGAACCACAGATGTTGAATGCTGGAAGGCATCCACAAACAAAAGGACAGAGGTCAACATTTCTCATTTTACTGATATGACCAAGACAAGGGTAGAACAACTGCCCAATGTGACTTAAGAGACGGATGCGACTCCAACTACACCTCCTGGGCCTGAAGCCCAATCTCCTTTGATTGTTCCCCCATTTCTCCATGAAGGAGGTAAAATGAAAAATCAAGATCTGGAAAGAATAGGACAGACTCCCATAAATGGAAAAACATTGGTACGTTAATGGGACAAAACAAAATGACACATTGTCCCGTTTCTTTTCCAAGAGGAACTTGAAACCAGAACCTCTTGCCTTATTTTACAAATCAGCTTATAAATCCACATTCCAATGGTAATTGAACTACCTCACTTGCTTTGTTTCTAGAATTTCATCCTCTGCTGGGGAAGGAGGGTCCAAGTTTCCCCCTCAGGTGGGTATTTTTGTTAGGTGGAGTACTGGGGAGCCCCCCCTCCCCTGCTAGGGGCCTTTTGGGAGGGGTAAAGTCATGCAAAGCTCCTACTCCCCTGCAGAGGGCAACCTGGGGAGAGCTTCAACTCCTGTGTCCTTTTCTTGGGTCCCTCTAGGAACTCCAAATAGAATAGGAAAAGTACTGAGATACCCTTCCCTTATAGAAGTGCTAGTAGGAGGGATGTTGAGATCCAAAGGAAAGGGACCAAGGGCCTGTCTAGAGTCTAGGTCATGGATTCTCAAATTACACCATCATAGATCTAGAGGAATAGGAAGCTTGGGGTACATACAAAGGTATAGGATAACCCTGGCACAATTTCTGAGGACATGATCTTATTCAAATATTTTTTTTAGGATGGTAGTTTCTAGTTTCATTATACTATCTAAACCAACATTGCAATAAGACTAGGTAATCACAAGAACTTATAAGCTGAATCAGGAAACTTCAGTTCATAATAAAGGAACAGGAAGGAGCAGAAGGAAATAGAATTTCATCCTACTTCTTTTCAGCTTGTGGCAGGGAAATTCAGGCTTGATCCCCTTGTTAACTGGGGTATAAGTTCATGTTCCTTCATCATCAGGGAGACTTTGGTGAGGAAGTATGGGAGGTATTGACTCCAGTAAAAAGACTCTTGGTGGTCCATGGGAGTGCAGGTCCAGCTCAGGATACACCTAGGTGGTTCCAAGCTCAAAGCCCTATGAAGTAATAAAGAATATACACCTGTCTGACCTTGCCTCCTGTCCCACACTTTCAAAGGGCCAAGTGGGGCCTAAGCTAACTGGTGGATTGAGGAATAGAGGGTTTCCAACTGACCTCCTTAGAAACAACAAACACATGATTAGAAATCACCTTGCTACCTGTGAGACTTTCAGGCAAATATTTTATAAATTTACACTTATGGGCTGGGGTTGTAGCTCAGTGGTAGAGCACTCACCTGGCATGTGTGAGGCAATGGGTTTGATCCTCAGCACCACATAAAAATGAACAAATAAAATAAAGGTATTGTGTCCATCTGCAACTAAAAAATTATATTTTAAAAAAATTTACACTTATGAGGCTAAAAATTTGAAAATGTAATACTTACTGTGTTTTTTTGAGTTACCATATCCTGAAAAGAAAAACAAAAGATGAACATAGTTTTTCTAAACAGTTAATTTTCATAAGCATTAAGTCTCCCCACATCATATAGTGCCCACCTTAAAACAAGAATTAATCATTTGAACCCCCACCATCTGAAAGCTTCAAATAGAATGAATCTCTGATAATCAAAAAATTCACATTCTATGGAAAACTAATCATAATTGTTTAGCTTTGGAAGTACTGGAGGGCATTTCTGCTTATGATGGTTTTCCCATATCAGTGACAATACTTTTGTCCAAAAGATTTATTTAATTTTTTGTAGTTGTAGGTGAACAGCATGTCTTTATTTTATTTGTTTATTTTTGTGTGGTGCTAAGGATCCAACCCAGTGCCTCACATGTGCTAGGCAAATGCTCTGCCACTGAGCTAAAGCTCTAGCCCCCCCAAAAGATATTTTGAGACTCAAATTTGGGGCACTGAGTGCCCTGCATCCCACCTTCCCAGAGAAGAATGACAGTGACAGTAAGAAAGCACTTGGGAAACACTGTGCCATCCTGGGGTTTGAATAGATCAATGCAAAGGCTGCAGAAACACCATGGTCACCCTTCCTACAGAAAGAGTACTACTGGAAGTATTCCTGACACCCTATTAGAACTGTCTAGGCAGGTTCAAACTCATGTCCATTTTAGCCAGTTAACAACAGGATGGTTATGCAGACCTTGAGTATATATCATTTATATGCTAGAAACCAACATTTCTGCAAGAGAAAACATAATTAAATATCTGCCCTGTAAAACATGCTTTATATAATCAGAGAATCTTTTTTTTCAGCGATGAGGGTCAAATCCAGGGCCTCACACATGCTAGGCAAGCACTGTGCCACTGAGCCACATCCCTAGCCCAAGATTTCTATTTTTGATAAGAAGTTCAGATTGCTTCCTCTGGTATTAGATATAAATGACTAACTACCCATTTCCATTGTAGGAAATATTTGTCTGATTCATTAAAAATTAAAAATTTTCAATCGCTAGCCCTGTAAAATAATTTTAAAATTATCTAGATCATAGAACTTTCCAGAGGGCTTTTCTAAAGCACAGGTGAGGAAAACTGTATTGAATTAGGAAAAAAATGTTAAAATTTCATGTTTCCTATCAAAGTATAGATTAATAATCTATATACTTTCATATTTTCTAAATTCTAAGTATTCTAAATACTTCTAAGCACAGTGAAAAATCAGTAAAAGCAGCAGTTAATATCTAAATCTCTAAAGTTATTTAAGTTGGCTTATAGACTTTAAATATGTTTCTAAACTGTAGAAACTATTCTACAATGTAAAGCACACTGATAAAAGTTTCTTTTTTTCACTGTCATACAAATGACTTCTTCAAATACACTATGTGCTATAACTACAGAGCACCTATCTACGTAAAATGCATGTGAGGTTTAACACATACAGATTATACATCTGAAGCAGGTGGTGTTTCTATCAGGAAATAATCTCAAACCAATATAGAACCCAGAAAAATTTGGTTAATATTAAATCACAAGAAACACATACACACACACACACACACATAGCCCAAGTATGGCATAAAGTTACAGTACTGAGGGAGTTGGACACTTAAAAAGGATGTCTGTAAAGGCCAATCTCTAAATCCACTAGTTCTCATACCTGATTGCACATTTGGGAGGTTTAAAAAAGTCCCATGCCTGTGCAGCACACCCCAGAGATTGTGACGTGATTGTTTGGGGTGTGGCCTGACTCCTGGGATATTTACAAGTTCTCTGGGTAATTCTAAAGTGCAATCAAGGTTGAGAAACAGTGCTGTAAACAAACTATTAATTTTTAAGTGATTTAACATAAAGCAGGATTTTCTAAGATATTCAACAATATTGGCAGACTTTTAGAATAACGCACATCAGACATTTATATTTTGCAAATATAAGCATTTAAAAATGTTCTATATGGGCTGGGACTGTAGCTCAGTGGTAAAGCACCCGCCTTGCATGTGTGAGGCACTGGGTTCGATCCTCAGCACCACGTAAATAATAAATAAAGATATTTTTAAAATGTTCTATATTATCAAAAAATGTTTGTTTCAATCTTGCCAAAATACATTTCAGAAATTCTCAATATTACTGAATTGTATAGGAATACACTTGTTTTCAGTTTTGCTATGTTTTCAGATTAGAGTATAATAACAAATTAAATGCCGATTATATCTATGGTAAAATTTTCTGCTTATTTTGGTAACTGTTAAATATATCCCTGTCATTATCCAAGTCAAGAACTAATTTTTATAACATGTAAGTTTGGATCAAATTGCCCACAAACGGATTCAGAGTAGTGTGTTTGTGTCAATGGAAGTGAATACTTTTTGCTTTTTCTCTAATGAGCCTGGAAGTGCTCAGGTTGCCTGCAAAAGCTTAATGTAGCAACGATGCTCACAGAGCAGCCAGAAATTTATATGTGTGAGGTAGAACCAGTGGTAGGAAAAAAGGTATTGCAAAAGCAATTTTTATTACTTTTCTCACATATAATTCCTGTGCTATGTTACATTTCGGCTTGACATAAAATTCTGCTTTCCCAAAATGATGCACTCAGAGGAAGGTGAACGATGTTCTTTACCTTCAGTGACAGTGCTGTGTCGGCATCGGTATCATGGTACAGGATCACATTATTGGCCATGTCAAAGCTTTCACGGACTCCAAGATGGTAGAAGAGGGAAGGCTGTCTGGAGAAGTCACTCATGTCTACAACAGCAACATCTGAAATGAACAAGAGAGGGATGGGAGTGAGAGGACAGATGATCTGTCTACTTAATCTACTTGTTACTGAAGAATTTTTTAAAAAACAACAAAAACCCTCTTCCTTTTTTAAAGTGATAGGAATATAGTCTCAAAATCAGCTAATGGATTTATCTTTAATGTCATTCTTATGAAATATATATCAAATATAGTTTGCATATTTATGAAGCATATAGTATAATGAAATAAAAACCCAGGTAAGCCCAAGTCATTACACATACACTTCCCTGATCACATCTCCTCCCTCTTGCCCAGAGGAGATCTCTATCCTCATTTCTGGATTTATCATTTCCCTACACATGTGTTTGTGTGTATACTATAGACCAAATATTTGTGTCCCCCTCTAAATTTGTGTGTGGTAATCTAATCCCCAATGTGATAATATTTGGAGATGGTGACTTTGGGAAGAACTATCATGAATAGGTTTAATGTTCTTATAAGAGGCCCCAGAGAGTTGACTTGTCCCTTCCACCATGTGAGAACACAGTGAGAAGATCCAGGTTATGAACCAGCAAGTGGGCTCTCAGACAGTGGATTTGATGGTACCTTAATCTTAGACTTCCCAGCCTCCAGAATTATGAGAAATAAAATTCTGTTTTTTATAGGCCATTCAGGCTATGGTATTCAGTTATAGCAGTCTGAACAGGCTAAGACAGTATGTAAAGACATGTATGGGCTTATTCTATTTATGAACTCCTAAATAATATGTTGTTCATCTTTGCATGTCTTTGAATTTTATATAAATAGTACCTTTTGTATTTTCTTTGACTTGCTTTTTTAATTTTTTATTTATAGTTGGACACAATACCTTTATTTTATTTATTTATTTTTATGTGGTGCTGAAGATCGAACCCAGGGCCTTGCACATGCGAGGTGAGTGCTCTCTGAGCCACAACCCCAACCCCTTGACTTGCTATTTTTTAAAGCAATCTTTTTAAAGGTTTAATGTGTTTCAGGATAGGTGTATTTTCTATGTGTGTGTGTGTGGTGCTGAGGATTGAACCCAGGGCCTCATGTGTGGTAGGTGAGTATTGTATCCACTGAGCTACACTCCCAGCCCTGACTTGCTACTTTTTGATGTGATTCAACCAACTTGTTCCTCTAGCTTCAGTTCCTACAGTTTCACTTCTATATAGCTTTCCATTGTATCACAATTAGATCATAATTTTTTATCCATCCTATCTATGGAGATTTTATTCATTTTTCTTTTTCTATGACCAGATGTTACAATAAACATTTCTGTGCCATAGCTCCTCGTTCACATATCCATCATCAACTTGACAATATAAAATGCCCCCTAAAGTTGTGTCCTGTCATGAAAACTTATTCAAAAAGGAGCAACTTATTGTATCAATCACAAACATATTTAAATTTGCTTAGTAGTATTGGACACCATTTCAAAATTTGTAATTTTTTGAGAAGATGCAAGAGCTCCAAATTTCATGGGAGCTTCCCCACTATGTGCACTAGAGATACAGAAATATAATGTCCAAACTTCTGCTCACATTACTATGACTTACAGCAAGTCAATGAAAATTCTGATGAAATGGAATAGAGGTGAGTTGTGGGTGTCAAGTGTATGAATGTGAGGAAACAAGAAGGTAGGTAGAGGGCTGGGGTTGTGGCTCAGTGGTGGAGCGCTTGCCTAGCACATGCAAGGCCCAGGGTTTGATTCTCAGCACCACATAGAAATAAATAAATAAAATAAAGGTATTGTGTCCAACTACAACTGAAAAATAAATATTAAAAAAAAAGAAGGTAGGTAGAAGCCACATCAGCACCAGGCTCCACAGGTTCTGCAGAGACACTGGGAGACTTGAGGCCAAGTGTCACCAATTGACACTTTTATTCTTATATATGGATTGCCTACTATATACCAGGCATTATGCTGGGTACCAAGGATAGAAGTGTGAATGGGGCATAAATCTTTTCTTAAAAAAAAAAGTACAGTACTATGCAGGGAACTAGAAGGAAGTACACACAGTTAGAGCTACTGTGAAGGGGGCTAAAGTGAGGGAAACTGGGAGAGAGGAACTCCCAGGAGGGTACCCAACCACTCAAGCACAGAAAGCAGTCAGAGAAAGCCTGGAGGAAGTGACGCTGTCTGTGGCCAGAGGATCTGTAAGAGTGAGGCAGGTAAACGAGGGCAGAATGGAGGAATGGAAAGGGAAGGAAAGAATGCTGTAGGAAGAGAAGCAAGTGCAAAAGGTCAGAGGCAAGTTAGGTTGTGAATGTTAATTTCCTGGCCAGAACACCCTAGGAGATGAATCTGGGCTAGCAAGTACCAACTGGCAAAGGGGCCTTCCAAGCATGTTTAGAGGGCTGGACTCTACCTTGAGGCAGTGGAAAACAATGGTAGGTTGTTTTTTTTTTTTTTTTTTAATGGAGAACTACAAATATATATAAAAGTTGACAGAAGAGTAGGAAACCCACATAAGAGTCCTTCACCCAACAATTATCATCTCATGATAAGCTTTGTTGTAACTCCAGTGCCATCCATACTACCCCCTTCCATATTATTTTGAAGCAAATACCAGTTACCATATCCTTTTATTCCCAAATATTTTAGGATGCGTTGCTAAAATATGAGAACTCAAGAGAAAAAAATAGTCATAGTATCCATGCCTCACCCAAAACTATTTTTTAAATAATCAGGAGAAGTTTTAGACAGTGACAATCACATTCAAATTCACCCTTTAGAGGTTGTTGCTAATGATAGGACAAATGCATATGCTGAGGAAACACTTGACAAGTCAGCTTGGCTAATTTATCTCAAATGGATAATTCTGCTCCCCACAGAGGTTTGCTCATAGTCAAAAATAACACTGCAGCTGAGTAAATTAGACATTCTGCCTATATGATTGTTCCCTGGACTCCATTACCTACTCAAAATTAAAAATGAAGAGTTTCATACCAATGCTATTTTAAAAGTGGCAACATAAGATACCAATTCCAAGGCCACAATGATTGCTATCTTTAGTTAATAAAGGAGAGGAAACAAAGGAAAGTGGTAGGGAAACGCAGAGTGCAGGGTCGCAGGACAGCAGCCTCCAACTCCCATAGATTTATAGGCAGTCTGGAGCTTGGTGGAGTAGCTTTTTGCCAAGTAAATTAAGTTTTTATCTGGCAACACAAAAAACCTTCCTTTTTATGCCTTCTCAACATTCTGTGCTGGGACGTGTAGTACCTCCAGGACCTGTACTTCTAGGACCTCACTACCTCCAGAAGTTCTTCTATGGCTCCACTCCAGAGGTAGTGACTTTCCAGTGCCAATTAAAATAGGTCAATGCTGCTACTTAAAATAAAAAGTCAGAACAATTCATGTTCCATAGGAAAACTTAGTCTCAATTTAACACTGAAATTTTTTGCTTGACATTTGTCACACAGGCTACTAGCATGAATTGATTTTAAGCAATTTATTTATTTATTTTTATTTATTTATTTTAGTTGTAGTTGGACACAATGTCTTTATTTATTTTTATGTGGTGTTGGGGATCGAACCCAGGGCCTCACCTGTGCTAGGCGAGCGCTCTACTGCTGAGCCACAAACCAAGCCCTATTTTAAGCAATTTATATCCAGACAATATTCAACTGGCTTGCTTTTAGAATTTCTAAGACACTAATTTAACAGTGGTCTGAATTTTTTTTTAATCATATATAAAGCCTCCAGGTTTGTTTTCCTAAAGAGACTACCAATTCATTCAAAGCTTTAATGATCACAATGGTCACATGGTCTGTCATTTACCAAATCCTTCCAAACACCTCAGGTGAATTTCAAAAGCACCTCACTGAGAGGCAGGCAGAGAAAATACTGGCTTCATTTTGCAGGTGGGCAAATTAAATGCAAACAGGTTAACAGACTTGCTCAAGTTCACTCAGCTAGGACAGGACTCAAATTCACTTTTCTGACCCCAAGTCCTATTCTCCCCAGTGCATGGATAAGACTTACTGCTATTCTGACTCACTCTAAAATCAAGCCACTGAGGAGGAAGACAATGGATATATCAGGCTAAATACTAGGCAAAAGATCACAGATTAAAAGAAAGAGATAAAATTCACATATTCATTCCCGAATATACCCTATGTTCCTAGCAGTCATTACTTTCCAGTTAGTTCCCAGTGATACAGGCCAGCCTTGGCAAAGAAGCCTGCATAGTATAACTCAGCTTCCTTGATCATGAAGCAGGCATGAACACATCCCTATCTACCAAGGTTTAACACACTTTAAAAAGTGATATACCATGGGGGACTACAAAAGGCCAAGTCCTGTAAAAAGTACACTTTAGCTGGAAAGCATTTAAATTTTACATTGAAGCACCCCTCAGTTTATCAATTATAATCATGTCAAAACATGCTAATATAAAATAAGATCAAATATACATGGGCTTTTAATTCATTCAAATTTGGGGGGCTTGGGGTTAGCTCAACTCGCTTGCCTAGCATGCATGAGTCTCTGGATTCAAACCCCAGCACCATGCAAAAAGAAAACCAAAAAAATCAACAAAAAATATTTTGAACACCATCTTGAACATAATTTTTGTTAAATGTTTTATAAGACTATAATTTTTAGTGTGGTTTATAAGTATTGGATTTCTGCAGTAAAGCATTAGTCAACAAAATGATACAATAGTGAATAGTGAATGATTTACCAGAGAAGTTCTGTAATCATACTGGTTCATGCCAATCTTTAAATATATTCCAGCTTACCCATAAGACTATCTTCCTCCCAGCAGACTAAAATAAATAAAGAATATAAATAAGACTGGTTTTGTCTAAATGTAAATAGTTGGGGTTTAGAATAAGTTTCCTACCAAAGACACTTCTAAAAAATCTGATTGGACTTAATTGCAACACTGGACATCTGAAAACTCCCTTTAAAAAAAGCTCAAATTTATTGGACAGAAGATATATTGACTAACTCCAACCATAATTTAGATCTGACTTTATCATGACTTGGGAGG